AAGCAAGGAAGAAAGAAGGCAAGTAAGGAAGGAAGGAAAGATGGAAGGAAGCAAAGATGGAACGAAGCAAGGAAAATAGGGAGGGAGAAAGAAAACAATGTACGCATATGCATTTGGATGAGTGGATGGATGTCGGATGAATGATATGCTGCATCTGTCGTGGCTGGCTTATTTCTTTCGAGTTGTTGCATCCAACCTCGAGAAGATTGACGTGTCAAATTGCACAGCATAATAATTCACCGTACTTACCAACACCAGTTCTGGGTGCCAGAGAAGGGGTTGGTTTTGGCTCTAGGAAGATAAACAGCAAAATTAATATCTCGGGGGATAATTAAAAAAAACTTCATTGTAGTTTATTCTTCTAAGATAAACAAGTCGAATTATAAGGTATAGGATGATGAAGAATACTTACTGGTGCATTTGTTGCAAAATTTACAACTAAGTGGGCAATACAGCTTCATTTTTTCCTTTTCTGTTTGGCATTTTCCTTCTTTAGCCCACTGGATGCACTCAAACTCATAGTTCTTGCAATGAGCTGAAAACATTCAACATCAATTACAAAACAAGGTATATAATAATCTGCCAGGCGGTACGAGTTATAAGTCAGGAACTCGACTAGGGTCTTGATAGYACATTTGTCATTTCATGAACTATTCGTCGTGTATTAATTCTTCATAAACGTTGCACGCTACAAGAGTTTAAGGGTATGTCACACGTTCTCTAAATTAAATCAATCAAAACAGAAGAAGAGCCAAGAAAAAATGTTATCTACAGCTCCTAGCCTCTGATACTTGTGTATTACTTAAATTGTAGTTATACAAAATCTGTCGCCCTCCCGCCCTATGGAAGGTATATATAGGTATGTATTTCACTGACCAGACCGTCAGTGTGACAGCTGCACGGTGAGTTGTGACAGGGTTGCCATGGTTACCGCGATGTTATCTACTAGTGATGAGTGTAACTTAAATCGCAGTTATACAAAACCGGTCATACCTGATATGCAGTGACCACATGTTTTGGAACACCAGTAAAACAAGTTTTCGCCATGCTTTTCGCACAGTCCAGTCTGCTTGTAGTCTGCGCAATTGTCAGAACGATCCTCACAAGAAGCTGTAATACCAAGAAAAACAACACTGAGCCTTTTGGAAAGGTATGAATCCGATCATTTCTTTTAACTTTTTTCATCGTTTCTTTCAATTACAAGTTATGGTCATTACACACACTAGTGAAATGAATTTGCAGAATTATTTTTCGAGTCGTGCAGTCACTACCATACATTTTTCTAAGAGTTTCAAATTTTCTGTTAAGAATTAAGGGGCCTGTTGGTAAATTGGTCATACTTATTCTAAAAGGAAATAGAATTATGTAGAGCAGAGCAGAGCAGCGAAGAAGAATGCAGAGGTGCCGGTCTGAGGTATTTAGCTTTGCAGCAGATGAGCTGAATTACTCTAGATTTATTGAATATACCTATCGATCACACTTACCTGATCGCGCCTCCAACGAAGCCTTTGGCATAGCAATAGGCTTCTGTTTTTGAGTTTTTAAATTTCTTGCCTTTTTCAGAAAACCTGTGGCGCATCAGTAATACAATTTTGTTAGGTTAGGGTCGATGTTTTCCATTTCAATCCCTAGAGTATCATTTCTTTGTTTAACATTTGCGTATGAGAAACCACATGAATTTGGACACAACTGAAACAAACTATCGTATGTCCTTCTCGGACAAGGACTTAAAACCGTAGGCCCCGTCTGTCTTCACTATATAACCCTGTATAAGGCGGACGCAAAAGATCCACTGAAGACGCTGGTGACGACCATCTTCAGTGCCCGTGCTATAATCGGCTGCCTTATCAATTGGGCCGCAAGGCCTGTTAGGCATCAGCCGTCCACCCAGGAGTGGTAAACGCATTAGATTAAATTCACAAGAGAGTGGCAAGTGGTCTGAAATGGAAAAACTGTACGCCAAAGGTAAAGAGGTATATACCAACCTGGGCACTTGTACATTCTGTTTGCTTGAAGTGCGTCGTCATCACTAAGTGCCACGTACGGTGTCTTTCCCTTGAGGTCCCTGATTGGTTTGATCGTATCTTTTCCGTTACTAGAGAAGGAGTTCCATGGGTAGTGCATGATTGAGCCGTAGTCGTATGGGACGTTGTAATCAATGACTTCGGTACCCCATTTGCGTTTCTCGAAGTTGTACTTCATACCTTTAGAGAACATTGATTCACACAAGTAATTAAATAAATACATCGTACCAGAATATGTTTCTGATGCTTAGTCATAATATGCATTAGCGTAGTGAATAGCAATGAAGGTTCGTTTCTTTTTCTCAAAACTAAAATTGCTGACAAACATATGCGCATGCGCAAGGCCTAAAGCACGGACGCGTCCTTTTTCCTGCCAAAACTTAGTTAAACTTTTGTGACACTATTAACAGAGGCCTAAGGCAACTCAGTAATTGGTTGTTACTACATTGTTATCAACAATTTCAGATATCTGGCGTATTTTTGATAAAGAAGCTTCATGGAAAACCATACAAGAGACCACACCAAATCTAAACCTCATTGTTGAGCTACATTAAAACATCCTCAGTGATAGCAGAGAGATAATAGACGATGAGGAATGTGTACTTACTCTCTTGGACGTTTTCAAAAAGGATTTTGATGTAGGAGTCTCTGTCGGGTCTACTCTGTTCATGCCAGAATCCAATAGCGTGCCCAAGCTCATGTGTCATGACGTGTTGATAATCACAACCTTTACCCATGGACAGGTAGTTCTTCCTTCCGTACGTCATACCCACCTCACTCCAACATCTTGGAAATAATCAATGGTTGTCTAGCTAAGAAATGCTGTGTAGAACCAACTGAAACTACTTCTGGGCAGATCTAAGTCAAGGCATGGCTTTGACTCACAGATCGAACCCTGAAACAACCTCTGGGCTTATCTAATTCAAGGCACGGCTAACTCACAGATTGAACCCTGAAACAACCTCTGGGCTGATCTAAGTCGGGGCATGGCTAACTCACAGATCAAACCCTTAAACAACCTCTAGGCTGATCTAAGTCAGGGCATGGCTAACTCACAGATCGAACCCTCAAACCACCTCTGGGCTGATCTAAGTCAGGGCATGGTTAGCTCACAGATCGAACCCTGAAACAATCTCTAGGCTGATCTAAGTCAGGGCACGGCTAACTCACAGATCGAATTAGCTTGTTTGATTTTGCGGAGGGAGGAAAACCGTACTCAAGAGCCCAGAGAAGAACATTGCTGAAGAATATTGATCCTGCCGTACAATATAGTCACCCCCTCTAAAGAAAGTAATGTTGCGACTAACCCTAATGATCTGTAAAACCAAATGTAGTTGGTCTCGTTTGTTCTTGGCTTGAATCGAATGCAAGTCTTGCTCTCCCATTCTGCCATACCGGCTTTGATGGCTTTGATTCCCCAGTCCAGGCTCGCTTCAAGAAAGAAACGAAGAAAGAAATAATAGGCCGTTTGTAGGACATAATCTCAGGACAATTGCTGGATTGCTATAAACAAGTGTGCAGATATATCAGTCAGTTATTGTTCAAATACTCAATCGTGGCTGGTTTATTTGTATGACAATTCGTGTAGGTGGCCTTGGTTGGCGTAGTTGCACTGTAAATACAGTCAATTCAAAAAATGTTGTCGTCGACCAACTCAAGCCTACGCGACTGGACCGAAAGGAACTCTGGGTAGCAATCATTGAAGCCGAGTTGACTCCATAATTTTATCCGACTAGTTATGCCTGGTTTACAGTTTTTTTTATGCCTTCATATTTTCGAAATTGTGAACTAAATCATAACTACTTCGTTTTTCTTTCCCTAAACCCGAAGACATGCATTTGATGGATTCTTTCTCGCCATTATTATCTTATTACTAGAGGGAACAATTAATTCAGAACGAATATTTAACCGCTCCAGTAATTTTTACCCATATTCCTTTCGGTCCAGTCGCGTAGGCTTGAGCCGGTCGACGACAACGTTTTTTGAATTGACTGTATATAGAATGTTTACTCACAAACACTGCAGTCAAATTCGTAAGGTATAACAGCATTGGGCCACAGCTTCTTTGGATTGTTATTGGCGGCTCGTCCTGATAGGAATGTTGGGTCGCCGAAGGCTTCCAGGTTACGAGTTTGTTCAGGTGTTAACTTGATGTCGCCTTCAAATATGCTGCGGTCAGGTGTCATGTAGTGAAGTTGGTCTACAAGATATCGATAAGTGAAATTATTATACATTTCATTCACTATGTCGCTTCTCATTGGCAGAGAGCCTACAGCCAATACCGGCATGATATGATAATTGTAATATCTGTAGATTTTCCTGCAGATATTACCTTTATCATAAAGAGTTCAAGGTCGACTAAATAGATATTGTGGATGAAGCTATAAGTTAGATTCATCGTGAATTCCCGAATACTGGCTATGGTAGGGTACAATCTCAGCTTTTGTTCCGTGGAATCAAAACATCCCAACTCGGAGAATCCCTACAGACAACCGATCCAGATGGAGTTGCAATGAGATGGCTGTCCATTACACCTAGAGCAGTTTATTGTGTGAGTGGGCCGTTAGCATTATAGCACATAGGTGGTAACCACAAGTTGTTAAGGTAAGCAGGAGTAAATCTTTATTCTTAGTTTACAGATGTATAATAAACCTCGGTATGCAATTTGTCAGGACARGACATAAAGACAGATAGATAAGGTCAGAAATTGTGGGAGTCTACAAGAATTCAAGAGGGCTTTAAGAAAATTAAAATTTGAATCGTTATATAAGGCATAGATTTGTAAAATATCTACTTAAGTTTTTCTCATTATTATTTAATTAGTTGTTACAATTCATAACATTTCTTTCTTTAATTTAGGTTTATATGGTTTTGGGTGGTTTTAATTTAACATGGATTTCTATTATGTATTTTTTGTATATTTAGGGGAATTTAAATTATAGATTATAAGTAGGTGTGGGTTGGTTTGGTTGGGGTTGGGTGGGGTGGGGTGGTTCAGTATATTTTTACGTAGAATTCTACACTTACATAATATTTTTAGATCTAGAATTTTATCTGTATTGTATTATTTAGATTTGAGTTTAGCACGTGCACGTTCTAACGAGACTTTATTGTAAGCTCCTGTGTGTCTCCGGAATAAATAAATCACTTACTTACTTATAGCCAAACGCAGCACAGACAACCAGGAAGCTATAACAAGGAATACAGACACAGAGACAGAGAGAACAGACAGAACAAACAGAACCACATCAAGTCACTACTAACCTTTCTTGCCATCAAAAGGTCCTTCTCCAAGAGCATGACCAACCAACAGCAACACAGTCACCAGATAAAAGACGGCCATGACGATTATCGCTCCTAGCAAGTTTTATAACGAAATTCTCTAATTTCGTCAAGTTTAATAACAGAAGTAACTGTAATTTAACGAAACAATTTGGTGCAAAATAAGACAAAGAGAAACAAAAAAGAAGAAAAGAAATAAAAAATTGGCAAAAACTTTTTCTTCTCTTTTATTTGCGTGATATGACGGCTTAGTTTTCAAGAAGGATATCGGCTACAATAGTTTATAGTTTCATTTGCAAGTAGTCGAACTTCAATTGAAGAATCAATAAAAGACCACGTCCGCACTCTTTCAAATTTTATGATCACTTCGTTAAACATCTTACCTATATATCAGACCAGTATGATGGCACTGAGCTTGCTTCTTCACCAACACGTACTGAGCCACTCGAAACTTTAAGTAGCTTTATATTGTATTCATAAGCACGATGAAACTGGATGAAAGACGCGTTGTAATTGGTCATTAAGCTGAAAGCAGTAACATGATCAAGGAGCATAGCTAAACAAATACAGATTTAACTGAGGACTTGTGAGTGACCAGCATACGGGCGTAGTTTGTCTAGGCACTGATATTCTATTCGTCTTTTACTTGAGAGTAAATCTTCTGTGCAAACTCTAAGCAAGATAATCTTGGACTCAAATGTTTGGAGTTTATTTAGGGGGACAAAGAGAATGAAATATGTGGGTATAGAGTTACATAAAGGGGCAAGAATCAAATGGGATGTATCTTTCTAGAAGAGTGAAATTAAAAGTTCTGCCACATGTTTGAGTAATGGAACATTCTCAAAAATTAACTTAATAGTCGTAGTAATTTCAAGGCTATATGAAATAATGATGATATTCCGAATGTGGTGGCGAAGGTGATGATAGATGACGATGGCGATGACGATGACGATCGTGGTGGTAATGGTGGTGTGTATTGGATGATTACGATGATGATCGTGATTTTGATGGTGGTGATAATATTAAATGATTATAAAGATTAGATTGTGATGGTAATTGTGGTGTGTATATGATGATAATGATTGTAATGGTAGAAAGATGATGATGATTGTGATGGTAATTGTGGTGTGTATATGATGATAATGATTGTAATGGTGGAAAGATGATGATGATTGTGATGGTAATTGTGGTGTGCATGATGATAATGATTGTAAAGGTGGAAAGATGATGATGATTGTGATGGTATGATGATTGTAGTAATGATGAATGTGATGGTGATGGTGATTGTCAGGGTGGTGATGAAGATTGTGGTACAAATCATAAATATAATGTTCACGATGATAATAATAACGATGATGGTGATTATGACCAAGACGACGACAACGAAGATAAAAACAACAAGGATGATGAAGTTGTTGGTGTTGGTGTTGGGTCATAATCATAATGAGAGACGTCGATTAGATCTTCCGAGGATCTAACTAAGACCCCCTTTCTGTTTAAGCCACAGCAGCGCAACACAAATTCAGTCACACATTCGTTCAAACGTGACCCGATGAAACCCCCAAATTTCAGTGTAATGGTAAAATTGATTTTTTTWAAATGGAATTCAGTAAGAATCTTCCATACTTTGGTATTCAAAAAAGCATATGGACAATCCCACTCTTCGATGTTCCATATTGTATCAGCTTCGAATCATGGTCAAATTACTATGGTATAGAACAAAACAAAACAGTACAAGTAGTCCCTTGTGAGCAATGCCACCATTGCTTTTTTCCTRGTTGAAAGATGAACTTTTGATTTTCTATGTTCTATCAGCTGCATGATGATCAAGTTGCAACCTTTACTTTCCTGTCAAACTTGTTATCACATCTGGTCAAATAGTCACAAGCATAGAAGAATCAGTTTTCCATGTTTACGTTGAAATGAAAAATACTTCCAAAATTAAAAATATCCAGTTACGGTAACCATGTTACTGAATAAACACACCAAGCGGTACGTTACAACAGATAAAGGAAAACGTTTGGCTAATTACATTTTTTAAAAGATTGTGAAATAAATAGAGGATAGTACATTAGCGCACGGAGATACGAAGTTTATCTTCGAGTGTTGATAAATTTCGTATCTCCAAGCGCCCATGTAATATTATGTTTATTATGTAATTATCCATGAAATCAACTTAATAAGCTTTTTATAATTATTATAAAAAGTTTTTATTTATAAACTAATAGCATGGTAACGATATTTTCACATGTGAAAATGTCAGTTTTTCGAAAAGGAGAAATATAGGTATTTTATGGATAATTATATGATAAACTGATATTTTTTATCATGAGTTCAAAAATACTATTACGTTCCTTTCGTTACTTAATTACAGAATCATTTACTCAGGGTTGGCCTCATTTCAGCTTAATTAGAATATTCACCGGATACGAAAGAATGGTAAAATCTGAACATGTACAACTTCATTATTACAAAGCTAGCCGTCACTGTCAGCGCGCGCACTTTAACAAAACTGATTTAAATACCAATGTGTTCCTTGATTACAGAGTGGTATAGCAACGAATACATAACTGGGCTATGCCCGGGTAGGTGGGGGAGGGAGGGAGGGATTTTGTGCAAGTGGTAGGGGTAATCAGCGGTCGGTTTTGAGAATGAGCCCTTGTTAGACGTACCACTCGGAGAAATTGGATAAAATGACCTCCCCTCCCCCCTAC